CGCAAGACGTAAACACGATGCCTTGACTCTCGTATGCACTAATGATCCCGAGTACAAATGTGCCACAATGAAGGACAAGTTGCCAAACGATCACAAGCATTGAAGGTCTATATGATACTTAGTCGAACAACTTCCATAGTGCCAGTTGGGTTGTGCGGTTTAATCTTGTTCCAATGAATGGTTCGGCGGCCTTGTTCCAGGACGTGATGGATTTTCGCCTATAAAATGCTGCAAATGTCTACTTAACAACACTATGATGTGGAGGGTATGACTGGCCAATAAATAAAGTCACTGTTTGTTGTCTTTTCGAAGGAGTTTATCCCACTCACTTACGTCAGCCACTTTGAAGACGTAATTTGATCCATCTCCATGTTGACGAATTCACCAAAGCCAGCCACAAATCCAGCACAACAGTAACAAATTCATTCAACATGTTTACTAACACATGCACTTACATATATCCATGACAAATAACTCTAGTATGTACTGGTTCCATAGTAACACATGTGACAATTACTGTCTATACTCACAGTTTTACCATGATCATGCCTTTTAGGCAAGTCCCGCACTGTCGGGAATAAACCATTTATTTATTTCTTCGTGAGATGGCCTTCAGGTTAGGCCCACTATGTTGATACGTGTAGTGGGCAACCCAAATTCAGTGTATTACGGTGAAGATCGATTACTTCGAGTACTGGTGAACTCAGCCGTTGAAACAGAGACCATCCTAACCACAGCTGTTCTTTTTTGCAACTCATCGATTAGAGCACTTATACTACCAGGTGTTCCTTGGAAAGGGCGGTCAACTTAGACGGATAATCATGGTGACCCTCCTACAAATGACAGCAAGAAGGTCATATTAGTATATGATGTTCGTGAACTACCGGATTCTCCTTATAAAGGAGCGCAATAGCATAACCAAGAGCAGTGGGGCTACACCTACGGAGCACTCGCTCCGGATGATGTTTTTGTTAACTCGACTAAAGCGGCTGCAGTCCAAGTGTAATGAAAGTAGTGTTACACTCCGAAGGAATGATGGAAGTCCTATTGGATAGCTGGTTGTAGTTTCGCTTTAGGTCACAAACCAAGATTCGATTAAAGATTGAAGGCCTACGGCCACAAGTGGTCAGAAATTCGCTGAAACATGCAACGTCTATACAGTCTTTGCATCCACAGTCTTGCAAATTGTTAGACACAATGGCACTCGGGGCACCCGACCGGACAGAGAAATGCACGAGAGAACATCGCGATGTACAACATTCCGTACTGCTCTGCAGCCTGACCAAACTTCATAAGCCAACGATCCACGTAATAGATTAGTGGCTGACTACCAAACAGTCAGCTTAAAACTAATCGCAGTTTTGAAGTCCACTAACCTACTTCTGACATCAAAAGCACTACCTTGTTTGAATAGTAAGGCCTAAGGCCTTCTCAGTAAGTTGGCCGAAGCTCCAGAAGACCAGATCTCCTAACCAAGGAATCGCAGTATGATTAGGGTGATCGGATTAAGCCTTGAGACAACTGATTTTGAGACCAATTTACCTGGTAAGTCGGTGCTTCGGAATGATCATAGTATGGTATACCACGATAAATTAGAGAAGAAAATATTTATTTAGTTACTTAGTGAATTGGAATATGCGGTGATGTAATTCTTGATTACAAAGCTAAGCTCTGATGTGAACTTATTTTTACCCCAGAAATCCGCGCCTCTGACCCGTTTTGGTCCTGATTATAGTTGCGCAAGAAGGGCACATGTCTTGTGATCGTAATTTACCGCCTGCCAAACTCTACGCATGAAAAGGGCTCCTAGCTGAGCAACGTTCTAAAAGTTGCACTGAACAGTCACATTCAAATTGCAGGCGACATGATTGTGAACAACATGGAAATACCGACAACGGATGGCACCCAGTTTAACCCGTGTTTGAAAGAGCTAATTTTGCAGCTAACCTCTGTAGAACCATGTAACCTCTCCCAACAGATGTCGAACAGGGAACAAGCAGTTGATGTTTGAGCTGGTGCTCACTAAGGATGGACTTATGGTCGACGGAGTGGTTACAAGCACACTATTAAGTCGCAGTGGCTCCGTTACTTCATTGTTTGACTGTACATGCTATGCGAAATAGCTCGAAGAAGACGACAAATATTATACTGCCAAACACTTAAGCGCATTATCCGCACTTGCTACGGAGATACCTTGTACCTGCTTAACTGAATAACATCTAGAAGTCGTCTGGGAAACGTTCACAAAACAGTTAACACACTGGTAACGCTTATGCATGAGGAGCAGAACACATAAATACATGTTCTTGACAACTTTAGCATGCAGAGCTCACAAGAACTCGCCGAATGCCAAAACATGGACTGCATATGTGGCACAGAGTAACATCTATGCGAACAAGGTGGCATATCAGCAGGAATTAGTAAATCGATTCTGGACGTACGGCAAACGCATAGACGTTACAATCCTTCGAAATGTGCAGCGTGGAATTCCAGTTCTGGTCACGAGTGATGGGTACACACGATCATTAATGGAAGCAGCCAATTTCTTACGGTTCCATTACTCACATACCTTCCAGAGGGGAACGGACCCTATGTTTATCACTGTTACTATTGTGCTACTCTCAGGTTTATCTAATATCGGTATCACTGTAGAAGCTCTGTCGAAAAAGCTGTTGTCCCTGCGTACACACAACTCACTTGGTATCGAGAATTTTCAGCCGAAGGCTCTACTGGTAGCTACCAGTGAGTTGGCGGAACGTCTGGCTATATTTATAAGCGCTGTCTAGAGGATAACCAAAATTCTGCAATATGGAAACAAAATGTCATCACTCCTATTTAGAACGGAGTAGTCGCACTAAGTTTACCAATTATCTTCCGATAACGTTGCGTCCTGTACCCACCAATGTGATAAAATCAATCATCGCAGATGCACTTGTGCAGTATCTGAAAAACCACGGCATAATGGTCCCGAAATAACTTTTCTTCCGCCAAAATCGCTCACGAGCCACGAAGCTGTTAATTGCACGCAATAGCTAGACCGAGGCAGTTAATTGTGGTGAATGAGTCTATATTATCTACCTGGAATTCTCAATATCGTTTGATAGCTTAGACCGCCGAATTCTCCTTTTAATACATCAGAACTATAGAATCGGTGACCCACTCCTGCAATGCAGATAAGATTTTCTAAACAAACGTTGGTTGTTGGTGAGAGTACGAGAATCTCCATCCGACACAATTGAGTGTGGGTGCGGTGTACCACAAATATCAGTCCTGGGGCCTCGCCTAATCTTGCTATTCATAAACGATATAACGAGGGCAGTTACATCTGATTTCCTATTCTTTTCTGTTGATGTAAATATATGGCAAGCGATCAAGGAACCGGACGACCACAAAAATATCTAGAGAGACCTTAGCACGATTTAGAACGCGTCATTTCCGAACACTACCATTCAATACGGAAAAATGTCACGCTTTTCTGTTATGCCTAGGCCTGAATACACGTATTGTATTGGGTGACGCATATTGCAAACTTGACCTTGGTGTGCTCATATAAATTGACAACAGCCGTTTAAAACGGGCAGAGGCGGCTGCAAAAAAGACAGGCAACACCTCTGCCTTCTGCGGAGGGCCTTCGGGAGTTTTGGCTCACTCTTTTCGCACAGACGGAACGCCAGTTATTCCACTGCGACATGTTTTTGGTCACTCGCAGAGGCTAAAAGTAAATTTGAAATTTAAGGGTATAACATACAGATATGATTGTGAAATAACACCACGCCTCTCTAACACCACTTTTGAGTTCCCATAAGTTAGTTGTAGGGATCAAGAGCAGTATTCCAATATCCAAATATCGGCTAGCATGGCAATTTTACAGACACCAACAAGATAAGCCGTTGGTTACGTCTAGAGGTAACGGATCTTCGCACATTTGCTAAGTCTAGAGGAACGCCGCAGAAAGACCTTCATACAAATTTGCTGACCGCCGTCTATATAGAAAGCCCTGGATGACGGTTTTATATTACTGGGGCTCGTCAGTTTTGCGCATCTGGCCCATACTTCTAAATCCAAACATGTGAATTTATTGTTACTAGCCAGTGACTTTAACATTTGCAGCTTACATGCCTCTTTGACTGCGGGTGACATGTAATAACATATGTAGTCCTTCGGGCCAGCCTTATTCTCTGTGTGTTCATAACATAGGTGATAGAGCCGTGCTATAGCACGGCTCGTAAGAGGTAATTTATTGGTGCGGTCCGCCGCCATCAACTATGACTTAAGTGCAATGACAATGTCTTCTCCTAACATGTTTCCTCCTTGATGTGGGCTGTTGATGAGTCAGATAGAGCGAAACGGTCGTCTGGCTCTTTTCGGATGTGTGGTGACGGTCCGATTAAGTCTGGATATTCCAAACCATCCCATAAAGACGGTAAATCACCCTGATACAATGACCTGCGTAGGATGTAGAGTTGAACAATTCAGTTAATTGTAGTTCACTAGTTAGCTGATCCATTGTCGAAACGCTAGCATAACCTAATGCTAAGCAGAACTAGGGAATGTGCAAAGTCCACTAGATAAAATGTGAAGCAGCACAGTCACAAGAGAATGGTATACATTGTTCTTTTCTCTCCGCATATAACCAGTTGCGATGTCTGTTCTCGTTTCACAGCAGCTTACATCCATTGTTCTTCCACAATTATGAAACCATGTTCGTCAATATTTCGACAGATGTAGCTCAACTGTGACAGGCCAAAACGCAGTAGGCATCAGATGTTTCATGGTTAAGTCGGATGTGCACGCCAACATTTCCCCCGTCCAATAGAGATTTTCTGCGTAACTGAAATAAGAACACTATTGTGCTTTTTTAAATTGCCGTGATGTTACCTCGCTTAAACTTGTTGGTTCAGCAACGATCTGCTACCCCTGAATCTCCAAGAATCAGCTTGTTTTTGCACTCCGGAAATTAAGCAATATACTGTTTGTTGTGACTTCAAACATATCCACAGACTGTTCCTGTCATCCCGATGGATCGATGAATAATGCTTGCGATCAGCTGACGGGGCAGTGTACGTGCAAGCCTGGTGTTCTTGGCCGGCAATGCTCCATATGTCAGAGTGGAGAACAGCTTACTAAGGACGGATGCGCTTTCGATGTTGAGTCCGAAGGTGAGAGCACAATAACGCATACTGACCCATTTTTCCGAATTCGCAAACAAGGTTTTCTGAAGGGTGGTTTAGTAAAGGATGAGGTCGAACATCTCCCAGTTGACCGTAATTAACGCGCTTGAATACACAGCAATAAAGTTTTAGTTCAGCATTTAGACCTCGAGATTATAAAATCGCTTAACTGATTCATCACTTCGGAACAAGTTACACCCATTCTTACCGTACTTTTGTTTACCATTCATGACTGCGTACCAAGTTTTCTTTATCAGATCTAATTTGCGGTGTCTCATTTACAGTGAGCAGTGAACGTATTCGGAGTCCCCACATGGCGACAGCTGGGCGGTTATTTAGTCCCAAAACTACGCTCCTTATCCGAGCTCTGGTGACACTGGAGCAACCGGTGGCAATAGAATTGCATGCCACGCTGTATGCCACCGACGGGGGTTTGCTACATTACAGAGTTTCCCCAACGACGCGTGAACAAATGATGGTTCCAAATATACACGACCATCAGTTCAGTTTAATGGTTGCTCGAAAGCGCTTGGAATGCAGGTAAGATTCTTCTTTAGTAAGTGTCCTTAGTTTTGCATTGCATGTGTTCCATTACTACCTTACCTAGCGACATCAAACACCGGATATACGTTACAAAACAGAACATCGATCAGCCTTAGGGCATCAGGTACTGTGAAGGAGAGTCAAAATTCCCTATTCATCGCTCGCTAATTCTAATAACTTCGGTGGTTAATTACGTTGCTCCATGAATCTATAAATCTTAATCCGTTGTATTCGAGCACAGCACTAATTTATGATAAGTAGAATGAGATATGTATGTGGACAACATAGTGATATATTGCAGATGTAGTTCACAGCTGTTTACCTTAATGACACGCACAGCTTGCTGTTTAATGCTTTGCGCCCGAAAAATACTTCCCGCAGAGTGGTTAGAGCGACGAATCGGACTTGAAGCGACTGGATTGTAAATAAGATGATGTCACACAGTCGTCATTAATAAAAGCGGATAAAAGCCATTTCATCCGATCTCACACGCCTTTTAGAAGGTTGCCACCATGGTAGGACATTTAGCTTGCGAAGTCGATACAGTGTACTGAGTTTTGTATCGCTAAACATATGAAGCGCTGACTCATTTCCAAACGACAAGGCCCCATGGCCAAAGATCGGTTAAATTAACCTAGCTTTCAATCAATGATGAACTCTTCAACCTAATGTGTTAATGTCTGTGGAGAAATAACTGCATTTTTTCCTCAACAGATACGTGAATGGCAGCACAAGGACCAGGGTGCATATTGTTCGATCTGCCCTGACCATCCTACCTGGAGCACATTACAAAATACACACCGGTGTTTCGAACGGACAGCCGTGGTTACGCATCAACAATGAGGACCAAACAGTTTCTTATCCATCAGGAGCTAAATTAGAACACGAAAAAACAGAGGAAATTCTCCATTCAGGTGGTTACCGTACAATCGTAGTCGGACGACCACTGACGGAAAACATTGGCGGGTGAGCAATACAGCTGCGAGTCACTCAATTTCATGAAATAATCTGAGCATAACTCATTGCTGTCGATGTGGGGTACTATGATACAGGAATTCTATACTACCAACACTGGGTGCCTTTAGCCAATACTGCAGTAAACATATGGTTTATTTTGTTTAAAATAAATAAGTAAATGTTATCTTTTCGTTTGTAGCAAGACACACCTGTTCAGGCAACTGAAATCTATATTAGTGCAACGACCGCGAGTGATCGGAAAATATATACTGTTCTGCACTGCTTGTACCTGTGATGGTCCGGACTTATGTTCCTGTATCTGTACCACCTGTGTGCGGTTTGTGAGGGATGAGTAAAACCACGAAAGCAGGGGTTCTCCAATTCCATGAGACATCATTTCGGTTAGTAGTTTTCATTGATACACACGATCAAAGGTTTGTGTATATACTGAGGTAAATAACGGTTTCTGGCATGCCATTATGCTGAGACTGTTAGATGATGTACGGATTCAAATTGGTACGTTAGGTATGAATGCGCACTCTGGAAGCCTTGCTGAGGGTTGTTGAGTAAACTCCGGGACAATAGGAATTCGACAGTTACAACTGTATATATTGGTACATGATATTCCATAGGATAGATGTATGAACTTTTGGGCGATATTTCTTTGTTTGGAACAGGGAGCATGTTATGTACTAATAGTGTATTCCTTTTCCATGTACGGAAGCGTAGCCCGTTTAAAGGTAAAACACAAACACTGGATGGAACATGTAAAATCTGTATTCTGAGACTTACATCTAGTCAAGTGAGAACTAATGGAACCAAAAAATACAATCAAAAACGGAGGCCAGAGTCTCATTATTGATCAGTGCTGTCAGTGGTGCGATAAATTCAGGTTCATGGGCGTCCTAATTAGTGGGCACTTTCACGGCTCGTATGCAGTGAATGTGCCCTTTAGCCTGATTTAATTAGTTAGTTTTCTTCAACAATTTGAAAAACGTGGAAAGAATACGAAGACTGGTAGATGAATGCATTTCGTATCATCTCATCAATACCATTAACAATAACCGATATGCATAGATATAACTAACAGTGGGTGCATCCAGACAAGCTTAAGGTGCAGAACGAAAGACGGAATTTCACACCTACGTCCAAGGCAGCTTTAGGCTGACAAATAATTGTTGCTGAACACACAAGGCTGACTTAATCGGGCTACTTGCGACAGCCTCAGCAAACCGAACGAAGCGGGGATTAGTGTGACGTAACACAACTTTAAACGCTGAGCCCAGCTCTAATTGGTGACCCGAGTCTAATAGGTGTTTGCCTATCGAGGAAGCCGGCGGTTTGCACCAAAATGGAATTTGACGAGGATAGGAAATCTGAGCAACTTCATGCTGAAGCCATCTTGGTACATGCTTCTTTATTCCGAAGGTCAGCGTTCTATTACTTCTTCCCACGTCACAGTTTCCGCAGTCACATACAAATTAGTATACACAGTATGAGTTTGCCCAAATAGGCTGAGCTTCCTTCGTTAGAGGTATGGGCAAATTTCGGGTTCGGTTTTTTACGACAACTCGTGCAGCATAATAACTTCCTTGTGTAGCCGAAATTCTACGCTTAGTTGTCATCAACGTGGCTAAATCACCTTTGAAAGATAACATGATATACACTTTCTTCTGGGCTGCCGTGCGCACCAAGTCCTTTGGCCCACGCGGTTGGCTATGTTTCGCGATAAATCTTCGAGGGTAGCCGTTCGCCATTAGTGTTGTTGTAGCTAACACTAGCTCATGGTCCAAACAGTCGGCCAAACAAATTCGTCTGGCACGACTAACTAGAGTTTTCACAATTGTCCGTCTGTACCGCACTGGTGTGAAGCTGCTGGTGTGCACTTACTGACCGGACCAAGTTGATTTTCGGTAAATGGACCTCTTAATCAACCCGTCATCCCTGCGACTTAGGAGTATGTCCGGATATGGCAGACAATTGTTCTGTTTTACTTCGCATGTAACCTGTAAGTTAGCACGAGCACCATTGAGCCGTTCTACCAAATGTGTGAGCTACTGATCCGACGAATAGAAAGCCAAGCTATCATAGACATATCGTTTGTAGAGGGGCAATCAAGCTATTTCCGTAGAAATGCTTCTTTCTACCATCAGCACGATGAAAGCAACGAGCACAGGACCTAATGGGCTACCCATTGCTATGCCGTCAATTTGACCGTCTGGTGCATTCCGAAAGTGAACATCTACATTCTCCGTGCATAATAGTAGAGATTCTCTTAGCAATTCTGTCGGAAATGGTAGCGAATGGCCATCGTTTTCCGCTACTACGCACACGTAATCAACCGTCTGATGTAGCGGCACGTTGGTAAATAAGGATTCTACATCCAAGGAACGTATAACTGTCTGACATGTTAAGTTCAACCAGGTCGTCGATGAGTTGAAAGGAGTTTTAAGACTTTACGGATTGTACTGTTGTTTCAGCGGAGATAGCAATTTTACCAACCAACGAGCGAGTTTGTGCTGGGTGCCTTCATCTTTAATAGGATTGGTCTGAGTGACACTTCACACTTAAGTTTCTCTGGGGACCCATACAAGTGTGGAATAGTGCTACAACTCAGCTTCAAACTGTTAAATGTTTCACAGTATATAACGCGGTGGATGAGAAGCAATTCCAGATGACGAACTCTGCGCGTTTCGACATTGGTTATGTCCCCCACTTTCGTGAGCCGTTCGAACTTACTCTCATCGTTGAGTATGGCGTACATATTCTCATTGTATTCGGTTGTGTTCATGACCACGACTCCTGAACCTTTATCTGGTTTCGTTGCGACTACCTCCTTAGCTCGTAGTTTACCTAAGGCCTGAAAATGTCGAGCAGTCAGGGAACATTTTTCAGTAACTGGCATGGTTTTCAACTCATGGGCGATTACGGTTAACTTGTTTCTGAACCAAATAACCTTCTCAGGGCTGATTAATTGGAGCTCCTTAAACTGGTCAAAACTTCCCAAATTAGGCTTGTATGAACAAGCAGTACAACTTTCTAGTGGGAACCTTTTAATCAAGCCCAAGTAATAATGCCTCTAATCGCAACGCATCAAGTCGTAATTTCGATAAATTCATCACATACTTACTGGGATCACGAGCAATTGGTTCCACCCCCTGGTTGTTCGTCAGCGAATTTTCTAAACAAGCAGGACGATTTCGTCTCGTAGGATCAAAAGCTAATTTAAAAAAGTTAGTGAAAACAATTCGACAACACAGAAACTGATCCTCGATCACTGGTATTAAGCGTGCATGATTTTGTAGTAGTTCCGCAAGTCTGGTTTGAGCCGTCTCTAGGTGAGCTGACGCCACACGTCTGCGGTTAGTCGCAGATGGCTTGAGTTTGTTTCTACGCAACACTAAGAGAACTGGACAACGATAGGGACGTACGAAAATGCATTTCGATGGAAACGATATCTCCACATGTAAGCACACCATCTTGCAATTCAGGCTGACTATGCGAAGCAGCAACCTGACTGTTTCGGCAGAAATTTGGCGTTTTAGAAATTTAAAGCAGTCAGTTCCATTCAACAATTTGAAAAGCGTGGAAAAAGTACGAAGACTGGTAGATGAATGCATTTCGTATTGTCTCATCAGTACCATTAACAATAACCGATATGCATAGATATAACTAACAGTGGATGCAACCAGAAAAGCTTAAGGTGCAGAACGAATGACGGAAGTTCACACCTACGTTCAAGGCAGCTTTAGGCTGACAAATAATTGTTTCTGAACACACAAGGCTGGTTTAATCCGGCTTACAGTAACATCTGGCTTCTTCCCACTGTGTTAGTAGGTGTTCTATCCCGAAAAAGCAGTACACCACAGTAGCACCGGACGTATACATGAAGGAAAATGTTCACACACACGCGCAGTACAAGTACATCGATAGAGGTTCCCACCGCAACCAATCAAATGCAAGAGAACATGATAGGCCAACGTGTGCTAAATAGAAGTGTGAGTAGGTTAAGCGAATCGAGGGCAAAAACATGGTAAAGTATTTGAACACTACATTGTCCCCTCCTCGGTTCGTAAATATATAGGCACTGCATGTCCATGAACGATCTAATTTAATGTCAGCACCCCGAAGCATTGTCATGTAGGGTTATCCGTTAAAGCGTATTGGTAGACAGGGGGGTATCCGACCGGGGCGTCGTAAATTGTTATAAGTTTGTACTGAGCGCTGTGTTGTAGGTGTGTTCGTCTGTTCAACAGCACTTTGGGAAAGCGCTGTATGCAGCCGTCTTGCATTCACCTTTGTCCCATCAGCCAACTTGTAAGTTCCTGGCATGCACACAGATTCCACACGGGTCGGCGGTCCGAATACATTACCTCCTTTCCGGTAATTGGGTAGTCTCACACGAACAAATGTCCCTGGAGGATACGGGTTCCCAACTCGTCTATATTTAGAATGGTAAACAGCCCATCCTTCGGATTCTCTGTGGTCGGCAGTTTCTTCGGATGTAAAGACTGCATTGAATCGAGTTCGAATGGTTCGCCTCAGTATTAGCTCCGAGGGGGTCGTTGCCGTTGCAGTATGTGGAGTGGTTCTGTATACCTCCAATGCAGATACCAACGCATCATCCCAAGATTCTCCTGAAAGCCGAAGGACTTGTAGAGATTCTTTCAAAGTACGATTAAGTCGTTCGACGAGTCCATTCGCTGCAGGATTATAAGGTGCAGTACTCGTGTATCTGATACCATCGCGCCTTAGAAATTTAGCTTACTCGTTGCTTCGAAACTGCGAGCCTTTATCAGTGACTATTTCTTCTGGCAAATTATACCTTACAAACAAACAACGGAGCCACTTTACGCTGACAGCTGTAGTCACCTCCCCGCATAGAATAGTCTTTGGCCATTTGCTGTAGAAACATATAGCCACTAGCACGTTTCGCTTCTGCGGAGGTGCATTGGCAAACGGGCCCATATTAGCGATGGCAATTTTTGCCCATGGCTTCATTGGGTACA